TTTTTTTTTTTTGGTACCGGGGATCGAATTTGGGACCTTGCGCTTGCGAGGCAGGTGCCGGAACCACTGAGCTAAATCCCCGGCCCTAGGATTATTTTCTTTAGTGAGGAATACTATTGGTATTTTGATTGGGACTGCATTAAATCTGTATATTAGTTTTGGTAATGTGGCCATTTTCTTTTTTGTACCGGGGATCAAACTCGGGTCCTAGCGCCTGCGCAGCAGGCGGCGAAACCACTGAGCTAAATCCCCGGCCCATAATGTGGTCATTTTTACAATATTGGTTCTACCCATACAGGAACAGGAGATATCTTTCCATGTTCTGATGTCCTCTTCAATCTCTTTTTCAGGATACTATAGTTTTCATTGTAGAGGTCTTTCATCTCCTTGGTTAGGTTAATTCCTAAGTATTTAATTTCTTTTGAAGCTATTGTGAGTGGGATTGTTTTCCTAATTTGTTTCTTGGTAGGTTTATTGTTGGTGTACAGGAATGTTATTATTTTGGGGTATTTATATTGTGTTCTGTTTCCCCTCGCAGTCTTGAACTAAAGCCATGGTGTTGAAAATTTCCAGGCACTGATAAAGTTATTTAGGTGGTTTCCCAAAACACTGAAAGAGACTAGCCCTGGCCCTAAGCCAAATTCCTTAACCTCATGTAAATTCTGTGTCCTGACTTCCTTGTTATGACATACCTAGGTAGAACATCTTTCTTTTGCTGTCCCTCATGAGGACACTGCACCTACTTTGTAGATAATAAATGCTTTAGACTGACCACCCTGGTATTCCTTTTTTTCTTTTAAAATTTATTGATTGATTTTTTGAGACAGGGTCTAGCTATGTAGCCCAGGCTGGCCTCAAATTCATGGCGATCCTGCCTCAGCCTCCAGAGTGCTGGGATTATAGGTGTGTGCCACCCCAACTACCCAATTTTTTCTTTTTTAGAATCTCAACTGGTCCTATCTCCAAACAGTTTTGGACATTCCCTTACCAGAATTTCCATGCTGGTACTTTGGGGACAACTCCAGCCTTCAGTTTAGCCAGGAAGAGTCATTTCCCATTTGCACCTTGCCCTCTCCTGCTCTGTCCCAAGTATGATTCCTGTGTCCTAGGAAGGAAGAGCCGTGCCTATCTTGAATAAAAATTAATTAGTGGGCAGGGGATTTGGCTTAGTGGTTCTGCTGCTTGCCTCACAAGTGCAAGGACCCAAGTTCTATCCCTGGTACTAAAAAAAAAAAAAAATTTAGGGGGCCAGGGATTTAGCTCAATGGTTCCGCCACCTGCCTTGCAAGTGCAAGGACCCAAGTTCGATCCCCGGTACCAAAAAAAACCAAACAAAACAAAACAAAAAAAAAATTAATTAGTAAATCACCTGTTTTGCCAAGAAAAAGAAGCAAGTGTTCCAAAAGGTGGGAGTAGGGCTATGCATTTATAATAGGTTCATACACTTAGACATCTGGGGAAAAGAGCTACTTGAAAATCTTTTCCTTTCTTTCTTTTTTTTCAAAATAAAAGAAGATAATTTATTTGAAGATGGGGAAGGAGCAAAAGAGAGATGACAAACAGCTACTCTGAATGAGTAGGGAGAAATCAAAAATTGCTTCTTGTTTTTGTTTTTGAAACATAGTCTTGCTATGTAGGTTAGGCTGGTCTTGAACTCACTAGGTAGACCAGGCTGACCTTGAATTTGTAGCAATCCTCCTGTCTCAGCATCCTGAGTGCTAGGATTAATTACAGGTGTGTGCCACCATGCACAGTTTGAAAATCTTTTAAATTCACACTTACTCTTTAACTGGGGAATTGCTGCACATCTGCCTCCAACCCAAAGAAGGAAGCATCATCCAAACTGCCTCTGTGGGTCCTGGTGGGTGTGCCCTAGTAGCCTAATCCATGCCTCAAGGCCAGGCCACTGTGACATCCCTGAGGATCAAGATGTGAGTATAGCCTGGGGTTAATACACTACCCTGAAGTTTACAGCCAGGGTTGGAATCCCAGCTCTGTCACTAAGGTTCTGAGAACTGGGCAAGTTTCTGGGCCTCACATTTCTAAGCTCCTGCTTTGTAAGATTGAGATAATAGTATACCTTTCTGTAAGTAAAGTCATCACCACACAGCCATATTATTGAAGATAGCTTTGCCGGGTGTGGTGGCGCACGCCTGTGATCCCAGCACTTGGGAAGCTGAGGCAGAAGGATCTCAAGAGTTGGAGGCCAGCCTGGTCTACCTAGTGAGTTCAGGGTCAGCCTGAACTACAAAGGAAGACCTTGCCTCAAAAAAAAGATAGTCTCGATTGTTATTCTTCTTCCTTAAAGCCTCTACATTTAGAGCACTTGAGCCACCAAAGTCTGGCTCCTCAGCAAAACCATTACCTTGGGGGAAGGATCCTGGGTGGGGAGGTCCAAGCCAAGGGCAATGATGGTTCTGCAAAGATCCCCAACTCACACAGTGATTTGAAAAACAGCTATCATTTGTCTGCCAAATTCCACATTTGGAGAGAAGCTCTGCGATGTAATCCTGATCAAGCCATAGTCCCCCAAGTGTTCCAGTAAGTGGGGAAAGCAAATATGAACCCAGAAATACAGCCCATAGTGAAGAGGCCTCTTACAGAGGTGGTTCTGCAAGGGCTCATAGAGGTTCCAGAGAAAGGAACAGCCAGCCCTATAGAAGACAAGACATGGGGTAGCTTCTTACAGGCTTAACAGTGTTGCCAGACAAGTAAGTAAAGAAAGGCAGTTTGGGCAGTTGTGACTGTCTGAGGAGACATAGGGAGAAGACACCTTTTGCCTGTGAATTTCTCATCTTCCCTTCCAAGGGTAAGATGTGGGTTTAAGAAGCCAGCCTGGGGCCAGGGATGTAGCTCAGTGGTTCCGGTGCCTGCCTTGCAAGCGGAAGGACCCGAGTTCGATCCCCAGTACCAAAAGCAAAACAAAACAGAAGGCAGCCTGATGCATGAGAAATCATGAACAGCCCTACGCCAGTCAGTCATTGCATGGTGCGTAACAGGTGCTCAATTAACGGCTGTCCAGTGGCTAAATGGATTTTGGGCCTGGAGAAATGTGTGGAGGATAAGATGATGGTCTGTGGCTATTTAGTGGAAGAGATTACAGAATTTATTGGTTGGCTTCAAGGAGTAGAATTCAATTCAAGGGAAGGAAGATGATTTGAGGAACAATTCTTTTTCCTTACTTGTACCTTTGTCTAAATAATAGTTTTGTAAAAATCAGAGGGCTCCAATAAAAATTCTTAAGGGCCTCCAGGACTCTGCCATCTTGGAGCTGGGAAGGGGTATGGGAGGAGACAACATCAAACAATTACACTGTAACTTGGTGGCAGCTGTGAAAAGGGTTGTGAGGAAGTAGATGGGGGGGGGGACGGGCATTGGTCAGGTGATTCTGTGGAGGTGACATCCGAGTTGAAATCTCCATGATGTTAAGGGAAGGTTGCTGGTAGAAGGCAGTAACAGGGCTCCAGGCAGAGTGAACAGCCTGTGAAAAAGGGGTGGAGTGAGTAGAAAACTAGTTTAAAGAACAAAGAGAT